CCTGCCTGGTTTGGCCTTAGGTTTGACTGCTGTGTTTTTCTCTTACACTTCAGAGTGAAAAGACAAACCCTCCTCTTTATTGATTGTTATTGATTATTATTGATTATTATTGATTATTGATCAGTTTTATTGGACGTGAACCGTGACTTTGGAGGTCAATTAAACTAACAAACTGTTTAACTCTTTGTTTACACTTTTTCTCATCTATTTTTTGTTTTTTTTAAGCAACTTAAAAAATCAGATTAATCACAGACGCTATCAATTAATCACAATTAATCAAGTGTTTGAATGGACCAGCAGGGGTCACCAGAGTGACCCGGCCAGGTCAGGTGTGTGTTTGTCACCTGGTGTGAACCATCGACTCTTTTCCTCCTGCCTTGCTGCTCGTGGTCTAACCATGAAAACCTGCCACAGCGCCTCCTGCTGTTGGATGGCAGAATTCAACACAGTGTTAACTTTTACTTTTCTCTTTTCAATCAAGGGCCAAACTGTGCAAAACACCACGGTAATCATCTCTCTACACCTAGTCCTCCACCTAGTCCTCCACCGCAGGAGCAGAGAGAAGACAAACACTGACTTTTATTACACTCCGTCTGTGGACCAGTGAACTCACCGCCTTCTCTCTTTACCTCTGTGTCATCAGCAAATCAGAAAGCTGCGTCGGGAGCTGGACGCCTCTCAGGAGAAGGTGGCGACGCTGACGTCTCAGCTGGCTGCCAACGTGAGTCCATGTCTGTCACTGAGTTTATTGATATGATGAAAAGCCAGTAGCTGCAGCTGTGAGGTCAAGGGGTCGCTGCCCTGTGCAGTCAGACAGGCAGATGGGTTGAAGAGTCATTTATATCTATTTACTGCAGTCCTCCTGTACTATCATTAACTAAGTCTTCCTGACTCAGATGACGGCTCTAACACTAGCACTAGTCCCCCCCCCACTGTGCCCCCCCTCGTCTGTTGGCCCCAGATCAGCACAGACGGTTCAGCTCCAGGAAGTACTGCGTTAGTCCAGTTTCCTCCCTGTAAAAAGTGATGAAGAGTTGGAACGAAGTGTCGATACAGATGGTCCTCAGAAAGGTCACGACCTTTGCTGATTCAGCCAGAGAGCTGCTGTGTGTGTGTGTGTGTGTGTGTGTGTGTGAAACCAGAAAAACAGTGTTTTGAAAAATGTAACAAAAAGTGTTGATGTAACATTTTAAACATTCTAACATTTCACCAAATGAATCAAAGAGTGGCTTTCAACTAATCACGATTAATCATGATTCATTTGTCTCTGCGTGTGTGTGTGTGTGCGTGTGTGTGTGTGTGTGTGTGTGCAGGCCCACCTGGTGGCAGCTTTTGAGAAGAGCCTCAGTAACATGACGTGTCGTCTGCAGAGCCTCACCATGACTGCAGAACAAAAGGTACAAGGATGTCACGGTGTGTGTGTCAGTGTGTGTGTGTGTGTGTGTGTGTGTGTGTGTGTGTGTGAGACGGTCAGTCAGACCTGATGCTTCAGCAGTCGGACATAAATATATAAATGATGTGTTGATTTACTCCTGTTGTTGTTGTTGTTGTTGTTGTTGTTTGACTGATGTTCATGATGATTAAATATGGTTCTGCCCCCCCCTCCCCCCACATATTTTGGCTGTGTTCACACGCCCCCGCCATCTCTGCTCTCACACACACACACACACACTCAACACTGGCTGATGAGTCTTGTGAATCAGTCCTTTCTTAACTACTGGTACAGCCATCAGTATCGCTGATGTAATTGCATGAGTCAGCGTTTCATTAACGACACAGAGACTGTAACTGTAGTTCCACTAAAACGCTGGGTTGAATTGGCCCAGAATAGCTTTTTTTAATTTTTTCATTTTTTTTTTTTTTTTTTTTTCCGTTGGTAACCGATGCTGAGGAAAACCAATCCGGCTCCGTATGGAGTGGGAAAATGGAGGGAGGGGGCAGGGGGTGGAGGGT